AAAATGTTCAGGACAGAAGGGTTCACAAACCTGTGCTAATGACCTTGACCTTGAGATGACCTCTCAAGGTTATTTGAAGGTCAAGGTCTTTTTTTTCAATGGGAACCCCTATTTTTGACCCCGGATTTGAAAAGAACAGGAAATTTTACGTTCAAAATATTTTGAAAATTTTTTATATGATCTTCAAAGGTCAAATAAAGGTCAAATGTCTAAAAATGGCTGTAGAGCTGTTTTTCTGAGTGATTATGGTTTTTTAGGATTGACAAGCGTTGGTGGAACTTTAAAAAGTAAGTGTGATATGCTATGACCTTCTTGATCTTTAAGTTAACTATGAAGGTCATTTGAAGGTCGAGGTGATTATTTGAAATAGGAATTCCTATTTTTGACGTTGGATTTGAAAAAGCAGGAAATTAACGTGAGTAAAGACACGTCTTCGCGATTTTCATCGCTCGTGTGAAATCCACCACACAAGGTGAAAATCGCTTTCTTGCACGCTCATTGGAGTGAGATATTCTTCTTACTTTTGGCGTTACCCAGAAACAACGACGTGGACGTAAGTACTGTTTCCTTTGGGGTGCTTGATTCCCGTGAGTCCCCTTGCCTCTCACTATTACCTTGGTTATGCTACTAATCAACCATGAAGTAACTGTTCGAAGTTGCCTCCGTTGGCTTGAAGACATAAATGTAAGCGTCTTCAAGCCAACGGAGGCAACTTCGAACAGTTACTTCGTGGTTAATTAGTAGCATAACCAAGGTAATATTGAGAGGTAAAGGAACTCACGGGAATCAAGCATCCCAAACGTGAGAGGCAAGGGGACTCACGGGAATCAAGCACCCCAAACGTGAGAGGCAAGGGGACTCACGGGAATCAAGCACCCCAAAGGAAACAGTACTTACTACGTCCACGTCGTTGTTTCTGAGTAACGCCAAAAGTAAGAAGAATATCTCACTCCAACAAGCGTGCAAGAAAGCGATTTTCACCTTGTGTGGTGGATTTCACACAAGCGATGAAAATCGCGAAGACGTGTCTTTATTCACGTTAATTTCTTGCTTTTTCAAATCCAACGTCAGAAATAGGAATTCCTATTTCAAATAATTACCTCGACCTTCAAATGACCTTCACAGTTAACTTAAATGTCAAGAAGGTCATAGCGTATCACACTTACTTTTTAAAGTTCATCCAACGCTTGTCAATCCTAAAAAAATCATAATCACTCAGAAAAACAACTCTACAGCCATTTTTAGACATTTGACCTTTATTTGACCTTTAAAGATCATATAAAAAATTTTCAAAATATCATATTGAACGTAAAATTTCCTGTTCTTTCCAAATCCGGGGTCAAAAATAGGGGTTCCCATTGAAAAAAAGACCTTGACCTTCAAATAACCTTGAAAGGTCATCTCAAGCTCAAGGTCATTAGCACAGGTTTGTGAATCTATCAGGACCTTCTGTCCTGAACATTTTTTGTCACAACTATTTTCCCGTAGAACGGGTAGTTTAGGAGATATTCGGAATTATAGATTAAAATGGGTCACCCTGTATATGTATATATATATATATATATATATATATATATATATATATATATATATATATATATATATATATATATATATATATATATATATATATATATATATATATATATATATATATATATATATATATATATATATATATATATATATATATATATATATATATATATATATATATATATATATATATATATATATATATATATATATATATATATATATATATATATTGACGCGCGAGTTTGCTTGTGCGTGCACACGTTTCTTAAAACATGAAAAAACGGACGAAAAAAAAGTTGTTTTTTTCGTTCGTTGTTTTTCAAGTGGACACGTGCGGCGATATATATTTTCAACGTAACATGCGACCAATGTGATGCAATATACTCGTATAAACATGCTTTCCGCCCGCGAACAACAAACGAAAAAAAGCGGACGATGAAAATAGAAACGGGCCGCATTTCTGTATCCATAGTAATAAGGAACAATAATTATTTAAAACAGACGCAAAAATCGGCCCTTTTTAGGGCCACTAAATTTTATAACGATGGAACTTGAACGCATAAAATATGAAATAATTATATCTCGCATGTTTATACAACAATAAAATTAAAAATATTCTACTCCGACACCTATACAAGCGCTGTATTGTTGCAGTATTCTATAGTATATTGATTCAATATTCTATATTGAAATAAATCTAATATTTTTTTTTTTCAAGAGCAGCTATTAAGAAACATTTGTCAAAGCCTCCTGAAAACCCTTCCCTTCCCCAAGATCTTCTTTTATATTACAGTAATTTCCTTGCTAACAAGAAAAAATGCATGAACGTTCGAGCGAGCGAAACAGTCGTCGGGACACCGCGTATTGCTTACGTATAGACAAGACAGTGTAAGTCAAGCGTTTTCTTAGTGTGTGTCACACGTATTTTAGGACATTTCTGTCCACGACATCTTATAATGCTATCTCTCTCGCTCTTACGTCTGCGATAGAGGATGGAAGATCGCCGCACTCCCACCACTATTCTCTCTCCAAGCGTCCGACGATCGCATGCCGCTAGCCGCCTCCGCCACTCCGTGGCTCGTCCACAAGCAGCAGTGTGTGAGTGACGCGTCATCGCGTGCGAGTCATACGGATATACGGACGGCATTAACGCCGGTGCGTGTACAAGTCAAATATCGTTCGTACACAATCGAGAACGATAGGTTTCCTTTACAGGGTTGGGAACGTTATTTTTTTAAAAGTAATGCGTTACCGTTACCGTTACTTGCGGTAAAAAGTAACTCGTTACCGTTACTCGTTACTGATTCTAAAAAGTAACGCGTTACCATTATTTGAAAAGTAATAATAAAAAAATCGTTACTTTCCGTTACTTTTCTAAAAAAAAAAAGTTAAAATCGACATATAAAACGAATAGTAGAAGAGACAGTACATAAATTATACATATGTAAAGACAAAATATAAGATATTTAAGCGGGAAGCACCCCATTATTGCATAACGACATAAAGCCCATTCTACATTAGTCGCAAGTCGCAAGGTCGCAAAGAAATTGACTAATCATAGTCGATTTTTCTTCTTGCGATCGAAGAATAATCAATTATGATTGGTACAATTTCCTTGCGATCTTGCGATTGCGACTAATGTAGAATGGGCTTTAGGGGCGCCGCACACAAATTGACATAACAGTAACGTAAGACGTACCGTAAAAATGGACCAATTATAATCGAGTATTCACAAAAATGGCGATCTTACGGTTCGACGATACTCAAAGTGATTGGTCAGTTCTTACTGTACGTCTTACGTTACGTCAATTTACTGTTATGTCAATTCGGGGGCCCTTAAGTGTGGTCTACAATGAGAACTTAAGCCATAAAATTTAAGTTTTAAATCCTAAGCCGTAAGAAGTTGACCAATTATAAGAAAAACCACAGTCAATTATAAGAAAAATAATTTCTTACGGCTTAGAAATTAAAGTTTAAATTTTATGGCTTAAGTTCTCATTGTAGATCACGCTTTAGAGGCTTTCTACAATAAGCAATAAATTTTAAGTCGCAATAAAATTGACCAATTACAGTGGATTATTCTTCTAATAATCGACTATGATCAATTTATGGTCAATTTTATTATGACTTAAGATTTATTGCTTATTGTAGAATGGGCTTTACGGAAAGCAGCACATTAATTGTTTATCATGTGCAAACTTTCATCACGTGGCAAGCGTTGCCGCGTTCTGTGTACAGAAGCCATCATAGTAAAAAATAACGATATAAGTAACGATGAATTTCGTTACTCGTTACTAAAGAAAATGTAACGCCGTTACTTTTTCGTTACTGATACAAAAAAGTAACGGCGTTACCAAATCGTTACCAAAAAAAAGTAACTAAATAGTAACGTCGTTACAAGTAACGCGTTACTTCCCAACCCTGTTCATTTATATGATAAAGAACTTTGAGTTTCTCGCACCATTAATTATGATAGATTTCCAATACTTTTTTCATGATAAATTCCAACAAAACGATAAGACAAGTCTCTAAAAATCCTATCTATAATGATTTAATACTCTCCTAACAGAGCACGATAGAAAACGATTTCATTTCTTATGGATTTGATACATGCAAAGAATACGATAAAGAAATAATTACGATAGAGAAACAATTACGATAGAGAATAGTTAGATTCTTTGCAAATTTTTTCAGTTTCTATCGCTTTCTTTCTTTCTATTTTATCACAGGAACACATTACGGTTTTAATGTAAGCTGTCTTATAAAATAATCTTCTAAATGTAATCGCGCGCTGTCATTTTTCTACCACCACGTCGAGAAAACGAAAGGTAATTATCTTTGGGCATACGATTTTGTGTTACACGCTGCTCGATGTGTCACCTCTACATACATGTATGCAGCCGAAGCGGCGACACGCTTCGTTTCGACGTCGATTCGGCACACGGATATATCATGCACATGTGTCAGTGTATCACGCCTCGCTATGTTTCGTAGCTATAAGCGGAGGGACGCGGCAATACGCGATTCGCGAGTGTCACGGTCGCACGTCGGCCAAAGGCATCTTTCTTTCCGCTGCCGCTTTCTGTACACTGATTTGTTGAGATAAAATAATTAATTTCTCAAAAACTATTGCGAATATCGCAAAACAGCACAGGACTTTCTTACTCACTTTAATCCGTTCTACATTCTCACCAAGGGTCGTCATGGAGATGTGAGACACCCTGTAATATATTTTAAGCAATATATTGATTTTTTATAATGAGAGAAATGGATTAATGGAAAAAAGAAAAGTAGAAATATAAAAATAAGTTCTATTATATTTTGCAGATGTTTTAATGCATCTATGTGCAAACATTGTGTTATCAATTACTTGATGTATAAAAAGATCAAGGTTAGATCAGCAAACAGTAAATATTTCATGAGATTTTATATTTTATGTTAAAAAGTACTGGAATGTACAATATTTTATGAAGTATTTACAATATTCTTATTTACTATTTACAATGATTTTATCTCAGTATTTTTCAGTATTCTCAGTACTATTTAGACATAGGATGACGAGTGTAATTGATTTATAAAAAATAATGCATTTAAAAAACTCAAAACAAAAATTCAAGACAATGATATGACCTTGACGCGATCTTAGTGAAACAACTCAAAATCAAAGTAAAGTCATAATTTATATTCGTCATAATATATTCGTCTGTAAATCAAATAACTTCTACTTGAAATATTTTTGTTCAGAAAATGCTTAGTTTCTGAGAAAATCCAATATATCACTTAAAATGAATCACTCTGTATATTACATCTAATAAATGAATATTTTATATTTTGTAGTCTGCAGATTCTATGATGCTCGGTAGTTTGCAGAAAGGATCATTAGATATAATGGGTGCTGTAGTAGAATTAACGGTTTGTCAAGAAAGACCAGGTTTGGAATGGATTTTAAGAATACAAAATCCAAGTATGTGTTCAATATTTGAAGTTGCAACACCTTCAAAAGATACTGCATTGGAATGGATGTCCAGTATCAAAGAGACTGCGCAAAATGCAAGTGTTAGGGTAAATATTTTGCATAAAATTATGATATTATATAGAATAAATGTGTGATATGCATCATGAACATTTTCTGCAGGAAAGTCAGCACAAAGAAATGGAAAGAGCATGGAGAATAGCCAAGGAAATGTCTAATCTTATAGTCTATTGTAGATCAGTTGCATTTAACATAGAAAGGATAAGGACTAAGGGATTTACATTTAACGAGATGAGTAGTTTTCCTGAAACAAAGGCTGAAAAATTAATGTGTCAACAAGAAAACAAATTTTTCATAAAATATCATCAGGTATGTATACAAATAAATAATATATAAGTTTAATATAAGAATATATGTATATGATTAATAAAATTATTCTTTATAGATTCAATTCAGCAGAGTTTATCCAAAGGGACAGCGTATTGATTCATCTAATTATAATCCTGTACCAATATGGAATTCTGGTTCTCAAATGGTAGCTTTGAATTATCAAACTGGAGATAAATGGATGCAATTAAATCAGGCTAAATTTAAAGAAAATGGCAATTGCGGTTATTTATTGAAACCAGAATTTATGTTTAAACATGACTTTAATCCGTATGATAAAAGTTCATTATACGAAGTTAATTCATTTAAAATTAATTTGAAAATTATTGGAGCTAGACATTTAATGAGATCAGGAAGAGGTATTGCCAATCCATTTATTGAAGTAGAAATTATAGGTTCAGATTTTGACTCGGGAATAAAATTGACAACAAAAACTATATGTAAGTGCTTCTATTTAAAATTTAAATTTTATCAAGTATTATTAAAATTTAAATCAATTTTATCAAGTATTATCATCAAATATTATAATTCTTACAGCGGACAATGGATTTAATCCAATATGGAATGAAACATGCGAATTTGAGATATTTAATCCATATTTTGCCCTTATAAGATTTTTAGTCCAAGATGAAGATATGTTTGGTGACAGTAACTTTATAGGACAAGCTACCTATCCAGTAAGTACTTAATTATTGTGCCTATCGAAAAACATTTCTGCGTACTTATGTGTATGTATATGCACATAAGTGTAAATAGTTTTAAATAAAAAACATTGGTAAAAATGTTTAGAATAGAACACTACTCTCCAATAATTTTGATGATGATATATATTATCAAGGGCATCCTCCTGAGTAACAATCAAGTTTTAGCCGTCGCTTATTATCTATTAAAAAATTACTAACAAAAGAAGTTTCATGAATAGAACGTAATTTTGCGGCACAGTGTACATTTAATAAATTTAAAAAGTACATTTTTACGTACAATATAGCAAACAATACACGTATATGCACGGGGGAGGGGTTCCGCCTCTCTCGCCACACTCCCTCTCCAAAAAAATAATCCTTTCTTTTTGGTGACGCATGAGAAATGCATTACGCATATCCGTAGCTCTCGAGGGAGAACCCGGGATCGCTTTATACATACTATCAGTGCTCCACTGTGCGTCGAGATCTTGTTATTGGAGGCTCCATCCCTGGGAGGACTTTTGTTTGTTCCCCTTTTGCCGATTTTGTTCACGGTGGGGCCACGCCACTGTGCCGCCTTTCTCCCGGGCTGTGTTAGCAAGAGGTGGAGGGCCTATTACTGTAGGCAGATACTCGCACCTCTTGACTCTCCTCCTTCCTTTCGCTCGATGAGTGGGGTCGGCGAGAGGATCTTTTTTCCGACCCCGCTCTACGGCCTCCTTTTGCTACATTAATGTACATACATGTTTTGCAAAAGGAGGCCATCGCGTTCCACGTATCCTCGTTGCCGACCATGTTTTTCACGAGAAGTCCTCCCCTATTTCTTCTCAGAGGACACGGCGCTGTTCCGCCCACTTCTGGACAATCCTCCAGAATGTGCTGCTTCATGTCCTTCGCGTGGCCGCACTCATGACATCTCATCGTCGCTTTCCGGGCCGTTATTCTGCACAGGTACTTTCCAAAGGAACCGTGTCCGGAGAACATTTACACGATCCAGAAGGAGAGTCCGTCTCGCCGCTGCTTGACTCACTCTCTCAGTACGGATCAAACGGCCCCGATAGTTCTGAGGTCGGCCTTTATATGGGCCAACCTCTCCTTCCACTTTGCGTAGAGAAGCTGTCGAGACTGGTGCCTCTTCCCCTCGACCGTCTTCTGCATGATGGGGCCGCTGAGACCGCGTCCCCGGAGCTCCACGCGCCGCTGATACACCGACGCGTAGACTACGACGACAAGGTCCCATGGTAGTGACCCCGCTAACACGCACGCCGCCTGGAGGGTGATGGTGCGGTACTCCCGTAAAAAAAAAAAAACTAATCCTAACCTAACCGATCTATTAAAATATAGTAAACCATATTCGTATATTATGTACAAAAAATATTGCAAACTGTACTGCATTTTTATTTTTACATTGTTTTCTACCGAATATGGAAAAACGCAAAGGTTGGGTTGCGTATATAGGATGTCTGACTCGTATCGTACCAGAACTAATATATAGCTAGAATAAGTCGTGACGAGTAATGGAATCGGTGTCTTTTTTTAAACAACCATGTAAAATTTCGAGTTACTAAATAAAATAGATGAACTAATCAGAACGTGTGGCGCGGCAGGCGGTCCTCGCTGATGTATTCCATCCTTAAATTCCTGTGTAAATTGTCATTTCTGATATACCATCTACAATATTCCGCAGAACTTTATTTTGGAATCTTTGGATACCGTCCATATTCGTCTTCTTAGCGCAACCCCCAAAGTTGGATACTGTACGTTCATACAGGCTTCAAAACTTGTCGATACAATAGCAGTTTATTGCGAATGCTCAGCTCAGAATTCCTTCCCAACAATGAGTACATGTTTCTATATTTGATGTTCAATTCTTTTATTTTTTTCTTAACATACTCTTTCCATTTAAGTTCTACATCAAGCGTCACGTCAAGATATTTGACAGTATTCGTATAAGGTATTTTCTGCGAGTTAATTTCAATCGGTATCCTGTTGACTTTGTGATTTGTAAAATTTATATGAGCCGATTTCGTCTCATTTAGTTTAATTCGTCATCTTTTTGTCCAATTACTATATTAGCAGCTCTTTGTAATTTGCTGGTTAATTCCTTTATGCAATCTCCAGTCACTAGGATCGCTATATCGTCAGCGAATTTTGTGACTTCTTTCAGGTTCGATATATCGTTTGTATATAGCAGAAATAAAACTGGTCCTAATACGCCACCTTGCGATACCCTTGCTGATATTTTCTTTAACTCAGAATATTCTTCTTCGCACTTGACACGAAAGTATCTATCTGCAATATGGATTTTAAGACCGTAGTATTACTTTAGAAGGTTTCGTTGTAGTTTGCACTCCAAACCTCGGTTCCAACTAGCAAAATAATATTGAAAAAACATTTTTTAAAATATTTAAAAAACATTTACAAAATATTTTTAAAAACGTTAAAAACAATGAGTTAAGTTTACTTTTTTTAATAAAAAAATGTTTTTTTTAATGTTTTGGACAAAACATCTTTAAAATATTTAATAAACGTTTTTTAAATATTTATTAAACGTTTACGTGAACATTTATAAATATTATAAAAATATTTATAAAAATATAAATATTTTTCTCTTTTCTTGAACTTTTTTTAAATTGTAACAGCCGAACTTCGCAGGTCGGTTGCTGTGTGTGCCGATGGATTAAGTGTTCGCCGGAGTCCGGGTTCGTTAAATAGCTGACACAAGACGCGTGTTGTAATAAATAAAAATAACAAAAACGTTTATTATTCCTTTGTACAGAGTAGTCGCGTTCGAGTGCGGAGATATCCTGGGAGACGGCGCCAGTTACCGGGTTGCGGTTTCAGTGTGCCGCGATAGTTAAGACGATAGACGGAGCGTATAGCGCGAAGGTTAGTCTCGCCTCGATTCAGCAGGCGGTCGTGTGTCGCGGTTCAGCGGTCGTGATTCGTGCGCGGCTCGCGTGGTTGGTCGCGGGGTCGCGCGGTGTCGGCGGTATCGAGTCCGTGTCACAGCACGGCACGCTGTTTTCGTGTTCGCGGTGGAGACGCGCTCGCTTGCACGCCTGCTTCGCAGGTGGCGAGATCGGGAGCGAGTGGCCAAAGTACCGACGTATTCACTCTCGGTCTCGCTCGTCAAGAGGCTAGGAACAAGGATCGAGAACAAAGCTCGACAGAGCGCAGCTAACGTACTGGCTTCGGTCCTTGCTCGTGAGGATGTGACACTAGGTAGATTCAAGTGACAGAAACGAGTCGGTCTTGCTCTCCGCTGTATAGTATCGAGTTCGGTTGATGGTCCAGATCGGTCTGGTCTCGATTAATTCGGAGCCGCGGATTATATATTCGACGCCGCTTTGCCTTAGCTCGCTGTACACGTGTTCGCGCGCTCTCGATAAATTATTTCGCGTAATCGATGTCGCGCGGTCGTATGTCGTGCGCCTGTTTTGTTTACGCGGACTTGCGTTTATGCTAGGCCTTGCGGCGTTTAAGGTGGCGTAACGCGCCGGTGCACGGCCCGACTGGTGGTCGGTCGGACCGGTATTAGTGACGATGTAGGTGTGCATCGTCACAAAATTTTCCACTTTATTGTTTTACATACTACATAATTCAATTTAAATTGTAATTTAAAATTTGCTTACCATGCTGGGATTCGAACCTGAGACCTCTGCTTCTTGAGTCGTTCACCTTACCCACTGCGCCACTGTCACTTTCACCGAGAGACAGTTTTATATTGCATACATATATTTATGTACGTTATACATGAAATTATACATGACATTATACAAATAATATAGTATATTCCTGTATAAAAACAATTATTAAAAAGAAAAGAACAGATCTTTTTAAAAAGTATGTTTGAAAAGTACATAAAAAGTATAATTAAAAAATATTTACTTGTTTTAAAAGTAAGTAAAATACAAAAAAATTACTTTATAAATTTAAATAAATTGTTTTCTGATAATAAAAACTTTAATTTGAAACACGAGAAAGATTTTAATATCAGAAAATAATTTATTTAGATTTATAAAATGATTTACTTATATTTCATTACTTTTAAATTTATTTATATTTCATTTACTCTTAAAACAAGCAAATATTTATTTAAACGCAGTTTTTACATTTAAAAAAACTAATTTTCTTCTTGTAAAGAAATTATTTGCTTATTCTTTTATATAGATATTTTAAAAAAGTCAAAGAAATCTTTTTTATCTAGAAATTCATAAATTTATAGCATCTTATAAATAAAAAATATTAATTTATATTATATTTATTACATATTTCCTAAAATGTAACAAATATTTTTTTTAAGTTAAGAAATTATATTTAACAAAATATATTTCTTTAATTTAAAGCACTTTCAGAGTATATCTTACCAATTTAAATTCCGATTTTCTTATTCTTTCATTAATTTAATAGTTATAAATAATTATGTTTACTTTTTTCATATATAATATTCATATATAATTACAAAATATTACTACAAATGCTTATTTTTTGTTTATTATAAATATTATACAAAATATTTAGTCTATATTTTAATAATATTTTAAATAAAGATTTTGATATTTTTTTCTTTTATGTGTACCTAAAATATTTATAAAATTTATATTATGTTTAAAAAATAATTCGACATTAATCTTTATGAATCTTTATCATAAATATTGTGTGCTATCTAGCATACGTATAGTGTTCTATTGAAAGAATCTGAAAAACGTCGTTTAGATGTTATATAGACGTATAAAAGACGATTTTTAATCTGAATGATGCTTTTTGGACGTTTTCTCAACGTTTTTCTGATTCTTTGACTAACTGGGATACGTATATTGTATGCATACCAGGTATGTAAATATGAAACCGAAATTTTTGTATAGAAAATACACGTTTATTGTATGAAAATGATAAAAAATATTTTATTCGAAGTATTACCCATCGCTAGCTATACATTTTTCTCACTTGTCTGACAATTTGTGGATGCACGCCAAAAAAACTGTTGCTCTTTTGAGGTAAACCAGTCATCGAGTCATTTTCGTACATTTTCGTAAGAAGTGAAGCGCTGCTTAGCAAGTGCGTATCCCATCGATGTAAATAAATAGTAATCGGACGGAA